TTGGTAATTACAGAAAACACTCCTCGGAAATAAATAATTTCGACACAGTTATTATGTTGAGTGCACTAACAAATGATATTGTATGTATAAAATTCAAGACAATTATTACGTTCTTGGTAATTACAGAAAACACTCCTCGGAAATAAATAATTTCGACACAGTTATTATGTTGAGTGCACTAACAAATGATATTGTATGTATAAAATTCAAGACAATTATTACGTTCTTGGTAATTACAGAAAACACTCCTCGGAAATAAATAATTTCGACACAGTTATTATGTTGAGTGCACTAACAAATGATATTGTATGTATAAAATTCAAGACAATTATTACGTTCTCAGTAATTGCAGAAAATACTCCTCGGAAATGAATAATTTCGACACAGTTATCATGTTGAGTGCACTAACAAATGATATTGTATGTATAAAATTCAAGACAATTATTACGTTCTCAGTAATTACAGAAAATACTCCTTGGAAATGAATAATTTTGACACAGTTATCATGTTGAGTGCACTAACAAATGATATCGTATGTATAAAATTCAAGACAATTATTACGTTCTCAGTAATTACAGAAAACACTTCTCGGAAATGAATAATTTTGACACAGTTATCATGTTGAATGCACTAACAAATGATATCGTATGTATAAAATTCAAGACAATTATTACGTTCTCAGTAATTACAGAAAACACTCCTCGGAAATGAATAATTTCGACACAGTTATCATGTTGAGTGCACTAACAAAGGATATTGTATGTATAAACTTCAAGACAATTATTACGTTCTCAGTAATTACAGAAAACACTCCTCGGAAATGAATAATTTCGACACAGTTATCATGTTGAGTGCACTAACAAAGGATATTGTATGTATAAAATTCAAGACAATGATCACTATTCCTTAGAACTTACAGGCTATAAAGGCATCAACAGACACTTGATATCACTTGCATTCTGTGCACAACTAAATTCAGAACACAGTAATGAGAACATTTTATAATGTCTGTACCTAAATCAGCTTGGAAAACTTATAGTTGTGTTATAAAAATAATATCCTTCCACACCTTTCAAAAATCCTAATGAGAATACGCATAGCCCACTTTTTGCACTTCCACCATGACAGATCTTGTCGTTCATCTTCCTCTACTAGGTTGGCAGCCTGGCATAAAGAACAGCATAACCACATCAAATTTTAGAATACAATATTTTAATTCGACAAAATAAAAATATAGTTTTTTCAAAAGTATAAGAATGTATTACAAAGAATTAAATATTAACTTAGGAAGAAAAAAAACTATGAAAAATAATCACTTTTACATTCTGACAGAAATACTGTATACCAGTGATACAAATTATTAGCAAATACTCTTAATGTTATAAAAGGTATCACATAAACACACAAAATATGTTAGATAAAAACCAGTTACACAAACAATGTATCAATATTGTGGACTATTAGACTTTAAGCTTCTAATCTCTTTTGTGTCTAAGTTCACCATACTTATGGAATCAGCATTTCCAGTTTAAATATTTACAGAAAGAATGCATAGGACATGTCAAAGACCAACAATTCAGAAATACTTTTTCCCCATTAACTTAAGTACAATATTAACATATAAACCATATTATTCTGAGTTCTTTTCTTGTGGACAAAGTCTAAATCCAGTCTGCAATATACAATAACATGTTGGAAATTTAGCCTTTGTACCAGTTTGATTTAGCACCACTTAACCAGCAACAAGGGATTTAATTTGCCCTTGCAGCCTTCTCTAGGTGCACAACACCTAAATACAAACTAAAGTATGTTGGCTGGTAAGTAGAACATGCCAAATGCAAGGTCAGTAGATACATGAATAATGATGTAAGTATTTAGGAAACTGAATCGTTAAAGAGTGAAAGAAAAAATTATATGATAACATGTCAACCATAATATATCTGCTATATCATGAATTTGTAAAAAACAAGCTTAGTTTCTAAATTTTATTTTCAGATAAATAAGACACAAATTAATCTCAATTTGCATTTATTAAAACAAGTATTGTATTATGAGTGGTAATGATTAACAATTCACAAAAAACTTTAAAATGTTATCTGTTTTTTTTTGCCTCTTTTTTGTTCACATTTCTGAAATTCAAAAGCAGACTTAGTCATTAAATATTTGGAGTCCTGCTAACGTACTTTAAGCAAGTTTTAAGAAAATCTTTAAAATGAAAAAAATCTTGCTCAACTACTCTTTAAAGTTTCAGTTGCTTCAAAATCTCCCCCCAAGTCTTTACCTCTGGTACAGGGGAGTCAAGCACTGCTCGGAAAACTTCCATCCATGAAGCAAAAACATGTTTAGGAAGAAGATCTAGTGGAAGAAAGTAGTGAACAAGTGAGTGAAAGACTTTTAAAATCTGTTTTTGTATCAATACTGAAGTTTCTGACTGGTCTGGCAGTAACTGGATAATTTTTTGGTGTACAAGTGGAAGAAGTAGATTCATAGCTTCATTCAGTGGTCCTCTTTCTTCTAGTTTCTTGTATCTAGGAACAATAAAATATACTGTTCTAATATAATAGCTAAATGTTTTCAAAATGACAGGTTATTTTGTATGGATTTAAGCTGCAAGAGATACGAGTTTCTAACAAGATGCATGAAAAAAAGTTCTTTTATCTGTGAAAACAAACTGAAGAATTATATTTTCAGACAGATATCAGCATAATTTAATATATAATTAAAATCAATGTTCATATTTACACAATTTTAAAAACATAGTAATACACTCTACATGTACAATGTTTCAACATTCTCTACATTGTCTTCAGGAATTATCTGCAAGACAGACTAATTTATACATTCTTTTTTTCCTGCCACATGACATTTTTATTTAGTTATCACTATAAATATATTTCTTTTTCATTACCTATCTGCTCATAACTAAAACTTCTTTAATCACACATAGCTTAAAACTGCAAAGTAAAAATGTTGATTCACTAGTTACTCCGATGACTTTGTAATAATTACTGTCCTGTTTGCTAATTTTAATTATTCTAATTTCATAAACAAATTTACATTTCCACCATATTCTAAAACTAATCTTGTATGTATATTCACACACCTTCTTTAGAATGGAGGTAAAAAAATTATCTAAATATATTAACATACTCATAGTTCTTAACAAGCTGATAGAGACACATTATTGCACCTATCCAGCTTGAAGTGTCTGGTAACTGCAGATAGATAGAGATTTTATCAACAATCTCTGTCCAACGTCCAGGGAAGTCATGTTTTATAATATGGTTGACACATACTGCCAGCTGAATCCTGCATTAACAAGAAATAGAGCTATCACAACTGCATATAGCTACAGATAATAAATAATGTATCATACAAATTACAGGTCAGTTGTAACAGATATGACACTTGTAGATGTAACAATTAAAGATTTTGAATTTTCACCTACTGTTTATATATCTTCTGACAGTTTCTTTTTGCAAAACTATAAAGACTATGCTAAAAAGTAATATAAAACATGATTAATTACCTAACTTTAAGTTTTATATTTGCTAAATAGCAGAAAATGATGTGTGACAGAATTAAAACCTACACTATAATTGGATTTTAGAAATTTTTGAAGTTTGCTAACTGAGCACTTGAACTTTGGCTAAACTATTTTATTTTCATTTTATGACATGTACTTAACTCATATAAGTAAACATTTATGGCATCCTTTGCATAAATTTCAGATAGGGAAAAACTTAATGGTGTAGCAAATCCAAAATTTGCATTTTAATAACAATACTTTGTATACAGAATATGAAACACAAATGAAATATGAACTATCAATGTTTACATAATTCAAACACAAATGGCCATTGTTAAAGTTAACTAAAAATTCACTTTTTTATTTACAAAATGATTCTGAAAATTTTTCAATGCTGACAACAGATAAACTTTACAGTTAACATTTTAAAATGACAATAATCAGCAACTTGAGCACAAATTATAATTTTTTTAAAATTAACAATGATTCCATAAAATTTTATTAAAACATAACACCCAATATAAAATTATTGATGATTAAAACATAATAAAGAAGAGCAACCAGAGAGATTGCATACCCTTGCCCTGCTGCAAATATTTGGATTTTTGGTTTCAATGTGTGCCTGAAATTCAGTCTTAATCTGATCATTTTGTACACAGTTATTATCAACAAACTGAGAAAATGCCCTACATCTCCATTATAAAAATGTTTCAAAGTGATCCAGACCACATTTGGGGAGGACCGTCCCATGAGGGCCGTCCCTATCTCTTGTAAAAAATTTCACGTAAATCAGTTTATTATTTTTCGAGATACACGCGCAGACGTACATACATAAATACAAACCCAAATGCAATGCCCTCCCCCCTCTGAGGGTGAGGGTAAAAAAATCAGAGATGTTATATAAAACAGTAGGCCTACGAGTATGAATAAGTTAGGCAACAAATTTTTGAGAAGGATATTTGTTTTTTGTATGTTAGGAGAGACAATATAATTTCATGTTGGTATGATGAATTTAATGCTTTAATAAGCACTGTGTTATTTCAAATTCACAGTATTTGATAAGTTTGTGATAATGTTTTCACGGACCAATAAAATGGCACCAAACATGTGACAAGATAGAAAACTACATGAACATAATCAATGCAACATATTTTAAACACTTTCAGAAGAAATATAACACTGCAATTTTTATTGGCTTATCATTTTCAGAATATTGTTACCACCAACCAGTTTTGTTCAAACATTATGGCACATTAACTACTGAGAGTTAAAAGGCTATAGAAATAAATTTTGTAAACAGACATTCATACTCAATGGTGAAACACTTTTGATAACAAATAAAACTATTCTATTTCATTATTTATTTAGTTCTTAAAAATGAAAAACAACATTTATGTATTAAAAAGTATATTAAGTTGCTTTTTACTAGAGAAAATATGTAAAAGTAACTAGATTTGACCTGAAACATTGCCTCATGATTAGGCATGTCTGCAACCAGTCCTATAAAACCATTATTTTAATAAATAAAATTCTGTACAAATATGAAAGTAATTTCACAAATGTGTTACTTTTTTTAGCAAACTAGAGATGATGACAAGCCATAAAAAAGCCATAGGTTATGAAATTCATTTTTTCATGTTACAGGCTGAAATTTACATGGTTTGTTCAAAACTATTAAGTTTTAAAACAAAAAAATAATAAAGTTTAGCATACTAAAAAATATAAGTATATAATCCTACAAGTATTAATTTAAATTACCAAGATCTTGATGCTACTCTAAGGCATGATGCTAGAGCTTTAATTACTCTGATAGTTGTTGACAAAGATATGACATAATTATAATAGCCTTTATAACCTTACAAATGATATTGGCAGCTTGCTAAAACAGTCACACTGATGTTTAGAAACAATACAAATGAAATTTAGAAAGAAACCTGAATAGGTTTTAATGCTGTACATAACACTTTTAATGCTGTTCTACAATTACTCTTTTAACACATTTTGAGTGAACTTGTATGGTAGTAACTAATACTTGCATTACAATAAGTAATGTATATATAAATATTAATTTTACTTTCATTTTTGTGTTAGTTTCAAATGTGAATCATCATATATGATTGTACATTTTCAATTGTTTTTTAATGATTAAACAAATGCTTAGAAATTAAATACATATTTACAGTAATATAACTAAAATGAAAATGAAATCATACCAACAGCTGCTTCCAATGAAGAATAGGTTATTTTTTTTAATGTAATTTAAAAAAAAGAATTACTAAACTTGTTTATTAAACCATTAACTTCATAAAATAGGTTTTTATAAGTCAGAATACAATGAATACCTTATGAGTTCTGGTGCTTGGACAGTTGCATCAATAATTGAATCTCTAATCATTGCACGATCTTGTTCATGAATATGGAAAAGTGCGGGCTTCCATGGTTCTTGTTCTTTTTCTTGCCAAAATTGCAAAACTAGGTTTTTTAGGTAAATAACACCAGCTTGTCTAACAGACATTTCTAAGTTGGTCATCATCACTAATTCTAGCAAAGAAGGTGCAAATCCAATAATTTTATGAACCTGCAATGACAAAATAATCTTTAAAATGAACTGCACATTTTATGAGAAAAAAAAAGTTATTATAAGTAAACACTAAGTAATCATGTGCCTGCCAATTGTTAGTTCAATGATCTACCAAGAAGTAAAATAAAGTATATACAAGTAGTGTATGAATAAGTGAAAGCTAACATTTTCTTAAACATAAAAAGTATTTCCAATAGATAAATAACTTCAGTCACAAAATAGATTTTCTCAATCAGTACTGACCTCTATTGGCACAAATTTTCAGTGCTCGCCAATAGCCTTCCACATCCTGCTTCTGCATATCCATGTGTAAGTGATTATATATAGCAGCTCTCCACCAATTAGATCATGAAACTACTCCTATCGTAGCTAGCATCTTCTCCACATTTGCACTTTTTAACCACTTTGGGATTGGTCATAGGCTCTACACCAAATATCACCAGAATTGGGAAAGCTGGGTAGGAAATGTGAGAAGAGGTAAGTATCTATCAGAAATATATTTTCAGTTTATAAAAATGTTAACTTCCGATATGATATCTTACCCTTTCTCACAAATTAACTAGAATCCCACACTTAACTGGTGGAGGGCTGAAGAAAAAATTATCCCCTTTTAGGAAGCACCCAAAGAGAGACCAGGAGGTGTGCAACCAAAAAAGAAAATATCACACCTCAAAGGTAGACCGCACCACACCTGATCCAGGTATTCTCTTCGATCTTTTATGACTGTGTTGTGAACATAAAAAGCGGAAAAACATGAAAAAATTCCATAATAAGTATTATCTATTAATGGGATCCCTGGGTGTTGAATAGCTAGGGCATGATAGGCTGTAGTGGTAGTTTGACCTCATCCAACACCTGGCAGCATCTGGAATTGTACATCAGTTGCATGGTAGGCAGAGAATTACCTACTTCTTCACCTCGAAATTGGAATTGGTAGGGAAGATGAGCTTTTGTACCAAATTCCATCTCTACTTGCATGCATTTCCAACCCAACCGACACCTGATACAAGGTAAAAGAAATCCATTGGATGGTAGGAAGAGGTAAAGCCCCAGTGGGATGGCATCTGTGGTCCAAAACCTGTCGGTATTGGGTATGTTTCTTCCAGTTTATGGTATGAGGAGGATAACCCATTGTACACAAGTGGTAATACGTGCTGCATCCAGCTACAGCCAACTCCAGATCTGCCGGGAACCGACATCTAGCAGAAGGTAGGAAGAGAGATTGCAAACCTGGCGTGCATCTCTAGTCCAAAACCTGGTGGCATTGGGTAGTTTTCACCCAGTCCACAGTAGAAGGGATACAGTCAGAACACATGTGAGGACTTACTTAGCTGGACCATCTCCAACCAACACCTGACCTGGGAAATGCATCCGAAGGATGGTATGTAGGCAGTATCTGGAATTGTACATCAGGTCCATGGTAGGAAGGCATCATGCCACTAACACCTGCAGAATGCTACCGCCCTGCTTTCAACTGAGTGATATGATGCCTCCATGGTCCACCACCCCAGCCGCTAGAAACTGGCAGGTGGCAAGGACTCCCATACTCCACTAGAAGAAAGGGAGGTAAATCAAGTTGGAGAGTCTGGAGGACCACATCACCGGAGACAGTGCAACAGATGATCTTGATACCCTATTTTTGAAAGCAGAGCTACCACGTCGACAGAGTAAATCAACCAATACCTGGTGGCATCTGGAATTGTACATCAGGTCTGTGGTTGGAAAGTCTCAATACCATCAATCCCTGTCTGCTTTGATTATGTGTGTTCATGAGTGCACGGTCTGGGATGAATATCTTTATGAAGCAAAAGACCAGTAGAGAGAACTGTCCTACAGAACACCCATCTCCCTGGTGTCAATAACTTAATCCTGTGAGGTAATTGTTTAGGCATAGATGACAATTAAACAGAGACACATAATCAACAGCTGGCAGCATATTGAATTGTACATCAGGTCTGCAGTAGGAGGAGCTACAATGTAATTGACATCGAGCATGGTCACAGGATGGCCAATGTGGATTTTCGAAAAAAAAGTATACCTCACCATAGAGTGGGATCCTCAATACACTATCAAAAAGGCCCCTGTAAATAAAGAAATAACAAAAACAAAACAACCAGTCATGACAACACCAAGGTGTGTAACGTGGCAACTGGAGGTAAATGAAAACCCACTGAGCAAGAAACAGCCTTGTGATTTAAGCAATGTGAAATAAAGGTATGAGGTGTAGTCCACATACCGAACCCAATGATGATATCCAAAGGAAAATGAAAATGGGCAGCCAAGGACACGGTGAGGTGATGGATTTGATGAGAAGATACTCAAAAATGGTGACACTCCTCAGGCAAAAGGGAAGAATACAACAGCCTAATTAATTGGCAATTTCAACTTGTAAGGGTAATGGGAGAGAGGTCCCGGGACACAGAAAGATTTCATGGAATAAACAAACAGTTAAGTGAACCACAGAAGGGAGCAGTGAGAGTGAGATACCACCAGAGGGCCTAGAATGGACACAAGTGGCAGTCAGGATCAGAATGATCATAAGTGTGAGAAATGGAGGATAATGAAATAGGAGAAAAAGTGGAACTACCCTCTCTAGCAGCAGAAGTCTTGGACAAAAACAAACAGTCAGGGAAGAAGAAAACACAAACTGCGGTACTTCACACGGTAAGCATCAATCACAAAGACCTCAGATCGCTGCAGGCTACAAACCAATAATATGAGGAATAGAAGTTTGAAGAAAAGGTGATAAAGGGAACATGAGGACAAAGGATCAAACAGAGAACAAGTGAGAGCATGAAGGACAGGACTGAAATTCCAATCTGGGAAAGACATGGCGTGGAGGACGGGAAAGAGATAACAAACAAAATAACAATAACAACATGGGGGGATTGGAACACAGAGGCAAGCTCAGTAAGTTTGAACATGTAAGATAATGCAGCTCAATAGCTGGCAATTGAGGAAACTAACAGTTCCCTATTGAAGAACCAAGTGAAAAATGCAGTTGATTGTGTTGGAAAGGTTGTGAATAACGACATCTCCGGTGGAGTGACCAGCAGTGGAAAGTATAATATTTACACTGATAAACTGCCAAGGAGGAAGGACATACAGGATGGGCAATCCATCAGGCAACACTCCTAGAATATCTGAATTGTCTGGCAAGGGACCAGACAAAAGCTATGCATGAAGCTGGATGGTAGGAATGGACAGATGGTGCATGCCTGATTGAGGTTGATGAAGGAGCATGGGAGGCAATGCCAAAGGAAGGGGAGGTGACACAAAAAGCCTGCATAGAAGTGGAAACCATGTGTGAGCAGGCCAAAATGGAGCCACGATAAGGAGTGAATCAATGAAAGGAACAAGGAAAGAAGACAAATAGAAGGGTATGCATACAGGTAATATCTCTTCCAGTTTTCACTGAGACCATTTACAGCTTCTGCCAAACGATGAGGAATGGGAAACCAAAAATGAGGAAGTTGTGCATGAAGATGTGTGACAAAAGCATTCGCTTCTGGAAAACCCCAATGAGCAAACAACTCCCAAAATACCTGCAGATCTTACGGCCACTCTGATGGGAGAATCTTGTCAGGCTGAGATACTGGTCCTTTACCAGATTCAGAGCACCCAGAATACGATATGCTAATAATCTGATGTAATGATCATGACCTCAGTAGAGGGGGTTCAACGTTCTGAAACAACGATCTCAGGAAGGGGTACACCCTTATCTGGGTATATGAGACACTATTATGGAATTGCCCGAATGAGACATCACTGAATGCCCCCAAACATCCAAAAAGAAGTGAAGCATAGCACAATGAACAACAAGCAGCTCCAAGATGTTGATATGTGGGGATGATTCGGCCAGTGTCCAACGACCCGAAACCTCGATTGTTGAGATATGCACCCCAACCTGAAGGGAAAGCATCTGTAAATAGTTAACAATCTGGTTGAAGAGGTGGAAGAGAAACTGTGATGGTAGTATTAGTCCAATCCAAACACCAAGCAAAGACAGCCTGTAGGTGGTGAGGCAGGGTAATAGGAGCATCTAAGGGATCTCAAATGAAGCTCCATTGGTTGAGTAACAACCACTGAAGGTGACACAGGTGGGGGCAACAAAGGGGGAATGAGGGCTTCGAAAGAAGCCCACCTCCTGAAAAGAGATAGGGTCTCTCATGCACTAGAAGAGGGAGAGACCGACAGGCTGCGAACAAGACATTCCATATCTTGTAACTGATGGGGAGAAGGCTGGGCCCAACTGATGAGGGAATTGAAAAACACCCCAGATGAAACAGATATTTTGTGGGTGTGAAAAACGACTCCTCCAACTTAATGAACCAACCCACTCTGACAGTCTTTGAATAAACTGATTATGAACAGCAGATTCAAACTGGAGAGGAAGCCAAAAGTTGTCAGTCATCCACATAATGGTGGATATAAAGGCCTCTCGCGTGAAGCAATAAAGCAAAGGACCTGACTACTTGGCAGAAGGTATAAGGAGCCGAAGCCAGGCAAAATGGTAGAGCTCAAAACTGATAAACAAAATGGGGGAAATGCCAGGATGCCTGGCAGATGAGTGTGTGTAGATAGGCATTCGACACATTGACCTTCATCATCCACAGCCAGGAAACTGTTCAGGGATGAAAAATCTATAACCAGTCCCCAACATCCCATTTTTTGGGTACAACAAACAGACGGGAGTAAAATCCCAACTCAGAAGTTTCCCCAACTTCTATAGATTTTTCTGAAGTAAGTCCTGAACCACCTCAGTAGATACTGCAAGAAACAGGATCCCTTGGTGTGGAAGGCAATGGGATGAGGAGACAAGGAGGGAGAGGAATGGAAGAGAAGGGCTAGACTCTCTGAAAGAACCTGTAGGACCCATGGATCCATTGTAAATGGTGTCCACATAAGGCAAAAATGGAAAAGTTTGGCCTCAAGAAGCCAGGACTGGCAAAGTTAGACAGAGGGGTGAAACACAGTAGGAGGAGGTGGGGATAAATGGGAAGCTAACAAGGAAAATGAATTATGCAGACAAGTGGATTCAACTCAGGCCTCCAATGAGTCGGGAAAACCCCCCAAACACCTCTTCATGTAAAAAAAGTGCCATGCACAAGTTGCACAAGGAAGTAGCAGGTAAACATACTTGAAAAAAGAATGGTATCCCAACAGCATATCAGCCATGTCTGAAAAGCCAGAGCCAAAGATGAAAAGCATGCCGTTATAGTAAATAGAAGACCACAAACATCATTTGAAAACCCTTCAGGAAATGAGTGAATTGCCTGAGTGAGCAAGTGCATAGTTAATAATGTACACAGAATTGTGGATAACATCAGACTAATATGGGAAAATTGAGGTTATGAGAAATTCACCAACGCATTAGGGTTTGAACCTCACAATGTAATGAGATGTTGGGAATCAAGACAAGTGAAAGAAGATCTATGAGATGTATAAGCACGATCTTCAGATGTATAAGGCAGATGATGCATACTAATCCCTGACCAAAGTTTATCTTCAAAATGCTCAGCATGAACCCCAACATCAGGTGAGAGAGGGAACACTAAATATTGGCCAATATATTTATCATCAATGAGGGCAGGTTGAAAATCACAGGAAACAGCAGATAAGGATAACACAGCATAAACCTGATTAATTAATTCCACAAAGGGTGAAGAAGGTCTGGATAAATCCCCCGATATGACTCATGATTGGGAAGCATATTTGGGGGGGATAGGCTGTCCAACTTCTTGTCCTCCCTGTCAGACACCCCAGGAGCAGGCATGACAGGATATTCCTTGTGTAATGGTGAAAATTGCATGAATGTGGACATTTCTTGTCAAATAATTCCTCGGCTGATAATTAAGTACTCAATCCAGTAGTAATAGTCGGGAAACCCACAGCAGCAGTAATAACTGTGGTTGATGTAACTTACCAAAGCTGCAAGTGCATAGTGACAATTCAAAATTTGAAGCAAAAAAAAATGTATGAAAAATATAAGAAAAGCTGGAAAAAGCAACCTTTCACAATTCAAAAACAAGAAAAATTAAAGAAAAACTAAGTCTGTAGTATAAATGAAAATGTGTGAGCAAAAACAAAAGTGGAAATGGTAGTGGTTACAATAGGGGTTATGTCATCCTCCTATTGATGGAGAGCTGCTGCATAATCATTTACATGTGGATGTGCAGAATAGGGAGGTGGAAAGCTAGTGGTTAAAAATTTGCACCAATAGAGGACAGTACTAATGGAGAAAAGCTATTTTGTCAGAAGAGGTAAGATATCATATCGGAAGTTAACTTTTACATGCAATTATCCAACAGGACAAGTGCATTATTTCAGATGGTTAAAGTTAATTCTCTCAAAGCATAATTTCAGCACTCAAAATAAATGGGGATTTTAATAAATATATTTTTTCATTGGATTGTCACTGTTCTCACTATGTCAGTATGTGTATTTCAATGTTGTAGCCCTTTATGCTGTTACCATGCACGATGAATGCCACATTAATTATAGCCAATATTAAAAGTTCTATGATGCTGAAAAATTGTAGTTTTGGGTACAAAACAACTGACATTTTGTAAATTAATATTAATTTTATCCAGAATTACAAAGTACTTGTACAAAGAAGTATTTTCCTTGGCATTGCATCAAAGCTTCATTTGACAGCAGAAGGCACATGCACTTATTTTCTAGCAGCTTCGTATAACTTTGATGATGTTACTCTCTCTTGTTTTCCCTGGTTTATTTTGACATCTTACAGGTTCTTTGTTTATGTAATCTTATTTGAAATTAGAGATCAAACTAGAACTAGGCAATTATTATAATTTGCTAAATGGTTAAACATCATGCTCTTAATTGATTAAACTCAACTAATCAATTATTCTCACACAAGACTTGGACATATGGCGTAATCAAAATTAGTAATAATTGGAAACACTAATTTTGATTAGTTGATAAATTTCATGAGTCACAACACTCATCTATTAACCCTTTCGCAAACCTGGCATACATCTCTAGTCCAAAACCTGGTGGCATTGGGCATTTTCATCCAGTTTTAAGTAACATAAAATTATTCTCAATTATAAAAAAGCTCTCTGTTAACAATTCAAGTTATTTTTCTGTCAATATAAATAGATTCTAAACTATTAATATGTACACCTGTAATCTTGATATGTGGTTTCCCCTCAATGTTTTCCACTCAGCCCTTCAGTAACAAACAAGATGCCTAAGTGGAATGTACGACAACTGCTAGAATGACGAGTAGTAATCCTAATTACTATATATGTATGCTTGATGCGCTTGACTCTGATAGCTTAGAAGATAGTGAAAGTGAGTCAAGTAGTGTTTAAATGCATGATGATGAAGAGGCGATGAAACAAGAGGATGCTAGCTCTCTATCTAATGATGGTAATCAAGATAATGAACCTGGACCCAGAAGAGGAAGGTGTGAACAGCGTTGACAATGAGAAATAGTTATCCCAGTGTGAGGGGGGAGTGGGAGCACTGAGAAATATATGTCCCAGCTAAAAGGTTCTTTAAATTTAAAGTGCACAGTGATATGTAACATTTGTCAAGCAAATGTTTTAACTAGGAGTGTATGCTAATTTAGTAATTAGACTTCACTTTAGGCTTGTGCTTAATACTGAAAGGATGAGCTTTGGTCAGAGAAAACATGATTTCAAAGAACCAAAAAGTATCAGTGTATGTTTGAGAAAGTAGAAATTGTTTAATGCCATAAATTTTCCAGGATGATTGTAATTTATGCTAATATGACAAGGTGCACATTAAAACCTTTGAATGTACCTCAATATAACCAAAGCCTGGCAAACAAGTACCTTAAATATTAATCACAATTTTGCATACCCATAGTTATTAAGTTTATTTCTCCTATAAAATATATAACAAGGTTAACAATTAGTTTCATAGGGTTTTTGTAGACATGTAACCATTTTTAATGTATTTCCGAACTTCGTGATACTAGGAATAAATCTTAATGAGTTAATGATCACTAACTCACCAATCATACACAAGCTCAAAATGAAATAAGCTGCATAATACTACTCAAATTAATAATTAAAGTAGTCTGAGGGTATTAAATCAATGCTGCACTTTTACATGGAATATGGAACTTGACAATTATTATTAATAATGATATAGTATTAATTATTATTACTACTCATTTACTGTATAGTCACTATACTATAAGGTATTGGAGAACTTTGTGAAATCATTAACTTAATGATTAAATGCACAACTTAACTACATATTTAACTTCATAAGTAATAGAAACTAGTAATATACTAAAAGTATTAGTAAGATAAGTTACTTTCAAAATTGAAGTTCAACTTTTAGTTTTAAGTGTAAAGCTAATAGCAATACTAATATTAGTAATAATGCCAACACAGATTATAATTACTAAATTAGTTGACATACTTGTCTTAACCATTTTTCAGCTTCTTCGCGATGACTTGGATGTGTTGTTCCTTTAAGAAGTTCTATTAATTTGTTGACGTCCATGATAACAGAATAATTCTTAATAACGTTACTTGTAAATATAAAAACTAATATATATCAAATCTTTTCAATTTCAACGAACGTTAATCGTTTTTACTAACCCTACTTGGCCAACACTAACAGTAAATATAATTTATAAACAGTTCTCCCAATCCGAC